TTGTTGTAGTAGCCACTCGAGTGCCACGTTATGGTTTGTCTTCGCATTGACAGTTTACAAGGAATTTTGGAAGCTGATATAACCACGAAAGATCTAGAGTTCCTGGTCTTTCAGCACTATGAGTTTCGCGTTCACCTATGCTACCAATGGACCTTCAACACACCAGCCGATGCGATTAAACGATGTTACGAAGCAAGATCAGTTATGTTGTCAAAACTCGAAGCTCAAGCTGTGGTGAAGATCACTCACGATTATGACCACCCGCTTAAAGTTTCGGTCCTAACAATATGGACACATGTTTCCTAGTAACGTCGTTTTTTACAGTATTTCCTGGTACACTGAAAGTCAGCTTTTGTGACCGGAGCTGCAAAACTTATATGTTTAAAACGCTTCCTTTCATGTCGCTATACTGCACGAGTATCCTGTGGGTGCCTTCAAGTCATTCTAACGCACGAGCATGCTTTGTTTAATGCCACGCCCTCGCGGTCTGTATGATTCGGATCTATATATATATATATATATATATATATATATATATATATATATATATAGATATATATTATATAAAATGGGCAGACAGCGGTGACCCCGCTCACCGGGCGAGTTAGGGAATGATTTGTCATTGTTAATGACACTATGAACAGCATAAGCTCTAACGCGGCCTCCTGCGGCTTATATTCAAATTAGACAACACTTCGCGGTTATGGGTGCTGGGCGTAATATCGTGGGATTGGCCGACATTAAGGCATATATATTGCATGCCATGAACAACAAATTTACAAAGTTTGTCACCGCCTAGAGCCCATTGTGGCCAGTCGCCGCCCACAGTTCCTGAATGTAGGCTGGGCTCCAGCGAGCCCGAGGTTCGGTGTCGCATCAGCATGGCATTGCTTCGCCGAGGTGACGAATATAGTTATCACCGATGGGTGAACAAAACCGCTGGTCGAAACCACTGAAGGGGAACACAAACGTGCGGGGCACCCTGATCTCATACGTGACCGACACACATTAGCACATTTTCTGTTTTCGTTAGTGGGCGCCAGCATACGAGCTGGACAACTTCGCGAGGCAGGCAAGCCGGGGTTCGGTTCGCAGTAGAGCCGACTTTCATTGCAGAGTACAGTAATGACCTCTTCACGGCTGCGGGTTTAAAGAGACTGGTGAGCAGTGGGGCAAGACTGCGACCATCCGAGAGGCCCTCTCCAACACGCCTCACCCCGCACAGAACCCCGCCCCTGTGGCTCACGCGGGTCGTCTTGCGGGGCTCCCGCACTAGAGCGACTGTAACGGCAGCCCGCGGCTCGCCCGCCGCATGTCCGATGTAACGGGGCAGTGCGAGGATCCAGGACGAGGCGGTGAATAAGTAAAACGTGTCAGAAAAGCGGGCCGGACAGGCTGGACGTTTCGCTCATTCAGCGCCACGTACCGGCTCAGCTAGGCACGGCATACCCAGGCGCTCACCAGGCTCGGCATGGGCCCATTAGGATGTCATATGCCGCACTCAACCGCCTCGGCACGACAACAGACAAACTCAGACGACTTAGGGTCACGAAAGACAGGCCGACGACTCAGAATGGCACAAGATATGCTCGGGAAGCTGGGCGTGTCGCAGGACTTGTCCAGGTGCCAAAGGAACCCTGGCTGGGCGCGTCACGACGTCACGTGACACGCCATGGCGCTCCGGCGCCACGTAAACCGAGCTCAGGCGAGAAGTGGTGAGACAAATTACTCAGGACGGCATCCGTCTCCCGGACAGTTCATGATGCCACCCGCGGACGGATATCACGCCACCCCCGGACGGATATCGTGCCACCCCTGGGCGGATATTATGCCATCCCCGGACGGATATCATGCCCCCCGGACGGATATAGTGGGGACGGATATCATGCCATCCCGGACGGATATCATGCCACCCCGGACGGATATCATGCCACCCCCGGACGGATTAACGCCATCCCCGGACAGCTCATCATGCCCCCGGACGGATATCATGCCACCCCCGGACAGCTCATCATGCCACCCCCGGACGGATATCATGCCACCCCGGACGGATATAACGCCATCCCCGGACAGCTCATCATGCCACCCCCGGTCAGTTCATCATGCCACCCCCGGACGGATATCATACCACCCCCAGGACTGATATCATGCCGCCCCCGGTCAGCTCATCATGCCACCCACGGGACGGATATCGTGCCGCCCTCGGACGGATATCGTGCCACCTCCGGACAGCTCATCATGCCACCCGCGGACGGCCGCGCGGGACGTACCCGGGCGGCTCGGTTGTAGTAGGTGCCGTCCGTGTGCACGCTCAGCGCCTGCTGCGTGTAGGCCGTGTCGGCGTGGGCGCCGTCGGCGGCTGAACTGCCACACGTCGCCGAAGATCGTGTTCTGCACCGCGCCCACGCGCTCGATCACCCGGCGGGTGGCCTCCAGCGACGCCGACACCTGGCGGCGCGGCGGGCAACTGTGTGTCAGCTGGCCCCGCTTAAATAGAAAGTCCACTCTTCGAGGGGTTGTATTTAAAGCTACATGTATACGACTTGAAATACCATACAAAAAGGCAACTATACCTAGTTATCGCGCGTCTGAAAGTGGTTTTCTTTTGCCCTTGTTCTTTCCGTAATGCGCCATTCGTCTCCAGTCTAGCCTCCACGCAGGCCGGTATCGCTCCACCCGGCCAAACCACGTCCTTCGCAGACCTCGACACATCGGGGCGTGACGTTGGACAGCCCGCTCGATGGCCGACTCCTGCCGGCTGCGCTCAATTCACACAGCAATAAGCGCGGCTCACCCGGAGGCCGTCAGGGTGATGTTCGGACCGGCAGCCAGTCAACAACACGCCAGCGCCAATACTATCCCATTCCCCCGGCTCAAAGCTGGGAGCCATCGAACCGCGGGCGACGCTGCAAGATGAAGGAAAATAGACAATCTGATGTTTTCCTAAGCTCACAACAAGCATCCCGAGGTCGGGCGACATTAGCACTTCTTTGTCCAGCTGAAAGGTTGAATTACTGAAGTGCTATCCCCTCGATACGCTGCGTTACTCCTTTAATATATAGCTTTGCTACGACGCAATAAACTTAGTTTGGTCCACGATAATGTTAGTAAAGCGGACCAAATTCTTATACTTAAGTCCGCTTTGGCGGCCTTATATCGCTCCCATGCAGTTTTGGCGAGTGATTGATCAAGAAGCCTGGTGAGAAAAACGTATGCATTATTCCCCGGATGCCTATCTGGTTATTCATTTGAAAATGAAAAGACCTGGAGGCCGGAGGCACTGGAAACATCCCCACAGCATTCCGCCAAACTTCGCGCAACTTAAAACAAAGACCCATCGCGAGGCTCTGGAGCTATAGCGGACGAACGGACCGGCCACACTAAAACACTGCCACAACTTTGATGAGCCTCAGATCTCCGGCACCTTAGCACGTGCAGCGGGCACCATGGCCACACCAAGGCAATTTTCCCACTAAAACGCCCCAAAGCCTGTGCGGGTTTTCACGCAATGGGGACCCTATTAGCGGATACATCCTCGTTTCCAGAGCACACCAGCCGGGCGAGCGACGGCTGCGTTACAACGTGTACCGTGCGGCACCGCCGGCCACGGGGCCGCCCGCCGTTGTCGCTTTTCTGAGAAACGGGCGACACGAGACAGGTCGATCCCCTCCCACTGGTCCTCCGGGGACTCACGCGCCCGGGTCCGGGTACGGAGCTCGTCGTGTTTCATCACACCACACCCGCTGCGTCCTTGCACCATATGTTAATATGGTGTCTTACTGAGATATGACACATGAAACCGGTGTATGTATTGTAACGAGATCAGCGAAACTCGCGTATGCATGACGGTCCACAGAAAGTCGCCTCTACGTCGCACTTGAGTTCGCGGAAGTCGGTATTAATTCACCCAACTTCCCTCATGAATATGTGCGTGCCTGAGTTGACACAGCCTGACAAATCGCTTGTACTTTAGCACGTCTGGAGCCTATTCGTCATGGTTATACGCATGCATGCACTGCGACATGACGCGGTTGTCACCCACCAAAGGTTCCGCGCCCTCATGCAACCACGTGTCAGAGGCATTGGCTAATGCGCGGGGCAGTGGGCTGTCAAATGCACCCGCATAACACGTCAGTTGTCTTCGGTCTCTCATGTTTGCTTTCTGGCCGATACCATGCATAAGCGATACTTCATCACCGGGACCTCGGGCCGCGCATATTTTACGAGTTTGTACTCCGAGCTTTAAAGTATTTGAAAGTGTAAGGAGTTTTAGGAGTTGTAGAAGTTGTCTGTTCACACGAAACATATGTTGGCCCATGAATTTCCCCCATGGAGGGTTAGGAATATTGGCGACTCTAGGGATGAAAACAATTTATAATAGGTGTCCGGCCGATTCCCAAGTTGAGATTCATCTTAGGATGATGATGAAGGATAACCTAATGGCCCAGACCGCGAGAAATGGCACATGTGCCGGAAAAAGGACAGGATATCGGTCGGAAGGTTAGCCAGTCATATTTTAACGACAAATGAGAACGAACAATCTGTTAGTCACCCAAAACAGTCATCCACCCGCACTGATGCTGGTTACCCACCCGAGTGAAGGCAATCACTCACTCCTGTTGACAATAATCCCCTTCCACAGAGAGAGTCGCACAGTTCAGTGACGGTGGTCACTTACTCTCGTGATGGTGCACCACTCACCCCAATGGAAAGCGACCGCCCACCCCAGTCACAGTGACCACCCACCACCAACCAACCTCAGTGACGGTGATCATCCACCCCAGTGACGGTGGCCACTCACCGCAGCAACAGTGACCACTCATCCCAGTGACGGTGACCACTCATCCCCAGTGACAGTAACAACTCAGCCCCAAGTGACAGTGACCACTCACCCCCAGTGACAGTAACCACTCACCCCAGTGACCGGGGACCACTCACCCCAGTGACAGTGACCACGCCGTGCGTGAGGAAGCCCTTCAGCATCTGGCGCCACACCAGCCTCATCCTGCATGAAACTGGTCGTGGTGGACAGTGGGCAGGTCCTCACGAGCCGCCGTCCACGCGTCCCACAGACACCTGCCGATCGGGGGGAGGAGGGGGGGGGGTGGATTAGACCGCGGCCGCCGTGACAGCTCCGTCACGCTGGCGAGCAGCCCTGCTGTACAGCTCCGTCACGCTGGCGAGCAGCCCTGCTGTACAGCTCCGTCACGCTGGCGAGCAGCCCTGCTGTACAGCTCCGTCACGCTGGCGAGCAGCCCGGCTGTACAGCTCCGTCACGCTGGCGAGCAGCCCTGCTGTACAGCTCCGTCACGCTGGCGAGCAGCCCCGGCTGTACAGCTCCGTCACGCTGGCGAGCAGACCCTGCTGTACAGCTCCGTCACGCTGGCGAGCAGCCCGGCTGTACAGCTCCGTCACGCTGGCGAGCAGCCCTGCTGTACAGCTCCGTCACGCTGGCGAGCAGCCCTGCTATACAGCTCCGTCACGCTGGCGAGCAGCCCGGCTGCACAGCCCCAGTCAGGGCCACACCGGCGCTGACAGGCAGCCATCAGCTGTCCGTCAGCGCCACCAGCTCCGGACGCGGCGGCGCTCAACGTGACAGAGGGTGGGCAACCTTCACAGCGTGTCACCACCAGCGGCACGTGATACCCTCCACAGCCGTAACGTCAGTGGCACGTCACACCAGCGGCGCGTTACACTCTTCCAGCTCGTCACAATGTCCAACCCGTCACACCAACGGAGAGTCACACCCCCGAGCCCGTCACGCCATCCGCGCGTCGCGCCCTTCCAGCGCGTCATGCCCTCAGTGCATCACATCAGCGGCGCGCCATACCCTCCCAGGGCGCCCCCCCCCCCCCCCCCCCCAGCCGTCACAGCAGCAGACAGCCACACCCTCCCAACCGTCACACCAACGGCGCATTACAACAGCGGACCACCACACCCTCCCAGCCGTCACACCAGCGGTGCATTACACCAGCGGACCACCACAACCCTCCCAACCGTCACACCAACGGCGCATTACCACCAGCTGCGCGTCACACCAGCAGCGCGTTACACCAGCTGCGCGTCACACCAGCAGCGCGTTTACACCAGCTGAGCGTCACACCAGCAGCGCGTCACGCCCTTCCAGTGCGTCACACCCTCCCAGCCGTCACACGCTGCCAAAGGGTCACACCCTCCCAGCGCGCCACGCCAGCGGCGCGTTACACTCTCCCAGCTCGTCACAACGTCCAACCCGTCAACCAACGGAGCGCCCCCCCCCCCCCCCCCCCCCCCCCCGAGCCCGTCTCGCCATCGGCGTGTCACGCCCTTCCAGCGCGTCATACCCTCAGCGCATCACACCAGCGGCGCGCCATACCCTCCCAGGGCGGTACACACCCTCCCAGCCGTCACAACAGCAGACCGCCACACCTTCCCAGCGCGGTACACCTCCCCAGCCGTCACAACAGCAGACCGCCACACCTTCCCAGCGCGGTACACCCTCCCAGCCGTCACAACAGCAGACCGCCACACCTTCCCAGCGCGGTACACCCTCCCAGCCGTCACAACAGCAGACCGCCACACCCTTCCCAGCGCGGTACACCCTCCCAGCCGTCACAACAGCAGACCGCCACACCTTCCCAGCGCGGTACACCCTCCCAGCCGTCACACAGCGACTCACCAAACAAGCGGCGCGTCACACCATTCCAGTGCGTCACATCAGCGGCGCGTCACACCCTCCCAGCGGTCATACCAGCGGCGCGTCACGCCCTCCCAGCGGTCACACCAGCGGCGCGTCACGCCCTCCCAGCGGTCACACCAGCGGCGCGTCACGCCCTCCCAGCGGTCATACCAGCGGCGCGTCACGCCCTCCCAGCGGTCACATCAGCGGCGCGTCACGCCCTCCCAGCGGTTCATACCAGCGGCGCGTCACGCCCTCCCAGCGGTCATACCAGCGGCGCGTCACGCCCTCCCAGCGATCACACCAGCGGCGCGTCACGCCCTCCCAACGGTCACACCAGCGGCGCGTTCACGCCCTCCCAGCGGTCATACCAGCGCCGCGCGTTTTTCAATCCATTGCACGCCTCTGAGATCTGGCCGTGCCGGGCGTCGTCATGGCAGGAGCGGCCGCCAGCTGGGCGTTCCGGATGAGCAATGGGCCCGCTCATCTGGGGTCACGTAACACTCGGACCAGTTCAATTAGCCGGCCCAAGCCCGGCACGTCCGGCGGTGCGGCGGAAACAAACGGCGTCCCGGGGGCCTGGCTGTGTGTCAGGGCTCGTCCAACATGTCAAAATTAGTCCCATTTTTCACTCAAGGCTAGTCCCGCCTGAACTTATTGTTTCGATGTAGGCACCGGCGGCGCTTCACGCGCTACAAGGGCAAAACTGCAATGTGCTGGGCTGGAAAGAGAGACGATAAATTGGTTGCCACCACCCAGCTTCAGCGAAGCTTTTCTTCTGATTTAAGCGAGCACATGCTTCAGTATTGGAAGCGCAATGATGACATTTTGGCTGGTAACAGCCAGGCAGGGGGGATTCGGGGAGGGGAAGGAGGTGAGGTGGGTGGGACGCCTCACCTCTTCCAGACCCTGTCCTGCTGCATCTGCCGGTACTTCCGACTAATGTAGCTGTTTTCCCAGAGCCACTGAAGACTGTACTTCGACTCATGTCCGTCGTGCCCTGTGGCAGTCGCGAGGTCGGTCAGGTTACGAGGCCGCGACTGAGATCCGCATGGCCATGCTTCATTCAGTCGCCCTGTTCCCTCGCGCCGTCAACACGTCTTCGCTTCACTTCGTCACATTTCACCCAGCGCAGGGAAGACGGGGCGCATAAAAGTGAAGCTGGCGCTAGACACACGCGCCACTGGCCTCTTCGCTGGTCGTTGTGAGGCCAAGCCTCGGGGACCAGCAGTCAACTCTGCCGTTATGAAGTGTTCGGCGCCAAAGTGCCGCTTTACGGGCCTCTCAAACTTTTATAGCCATCGCCGGAGGGTAGAAATAAACGGCAGGTCAGAATACCCGTCCTGCGCCAAAACATGGGGATTGTCGCTTTGTGGGCTGGTCATGCCCGATCTGCGGTTGCCACAGCATTGGGAAATGCTTCCAGGACGTCTTCTAGCGCTTGTTTGTAACTTACAAGTTTTGGGACCGAACCAGGGTGCGATCACTCAGGGCGCTGGTTTGATGCATGCATTTTCTGTTCTGTATAAGAGTACATGAAACCAGACCGGACCGGAAAACGTCATGTAGGGTCCCTAACCAGCCATCGCAGACAAGCTGGGTCTGACGTCGCCAGGTATTTACTATTCGATACACCTGCGTCTCTCGAATACTAAAGGCAACAGGAGACCAAGAGTCCACCAGCAACACTCTACAACAGACCTCGCGTTCGCCTCGGACGCCCTACGGTACACAGAATGCACCGCACAGACCCCACAGCGGAGTCAAAGGTTTACAGTCGCTGACATCTCGCATTAGCCCACAGGCCACCAATAACACGGTGGGCGGTATTCCATGGTGAGCGCGCAGCGACCACACCGACGTCTGTGGATTTCAGTCCTATTTGAAAACCCGCAGTAGAGACTATCCGTCCCGACAGCCTTGCCACATCAAGTACTGCTGTCATCCACCCACCCCCACCCCTTCCCCGGCGAGCAACGACCCCGCTCTGGCTGGCCAGCAAACCACTATTGCCACGTGGCGGCACAGTGTGAGCGGGACCGGAATGTCCAGTGCGTCTGGCAGCCGTTAGATGGCGCACGCAGCCCCCACATCGCACCAGCCAGTAAACCCGCTAATCTCCAGACACTCCAAGTCACCCAACTCTCACCTCATCCACGCTAAAACCTGTTTATGAGAACGCCTACCGACAGGTACCCCTGCCCTTCGTTATAGCAACAGACATCAAACGCGAGAGGCTGAAGCGCGAGGTCCCGCCTGCTCCAGTGAACCTGTGCGGAGGTGATGCGTCCCGCGCATGTAATGTCGGCTCGACTCACAGGTGATGGTGATGGAGGTTCCGCTCTGGTCGACGGCGAACTGACTGGGGTGCACGTCAAACACCAGGTCACGTACATCGGTCTGGAATGAAGGACGTGCGAGTTGACGGACGATGACGAGGCGTGGCGGTAACATGGTGCGAGCATTTGTGTGCATAAGTCGTGCAAAAGGAACGAGAGAAAGTCATGGCATTTCGCGGATGGCTCCAATGACGAGAAACCTCTTTCATTTGATCTTTTCTTGCTCATAGCGGGCCATGTGCACTTTGCTGTAAAGCTCAACGTCTAAGCTCGCCGTATCATGGGGGATCCAAGCCAGCTTTTGACTCAGAGCACAGGCGCGCCCGAGTCACACGAAAAAAAAACTTGTGTCTGCCACGCCTGACAGTGTCAACATCTGGCTGACTGACAACTGGCCAACAGTGTCTCACCATTCTGCCGCATTGGATACCCGTCCCCGATCGTTACTGCTTCCCACTGCTCGAGCATTCGCTCGCGCGATGGCCCGTCTCCACGGTGTCCGGCCTTCGAGCGGCGCCAGGCTGGCCCTCTCGGGCCCAGAGCGCCCATGTCAAAACGGCCCGCTGCAGCTCCCGAGTGGCCGTTCCGGGCAGCGCCACTGCCGCCCGCGCCGGTCTGTCCCACAGTCCCGAGGGCATCCGGCTCGGGTCTGTCCTTGTGTGTATATTACGGTGTTTATCAGAGCCTAAACAGGAACATGCCGGGCGGGACGGACGGCTCGCCGCTGTCTCGGCGCCGGTCGCGCCTCAAAACGACGCGGCAGCTACCAGGAATCGGCCCACGGCAGCACGTGCTTGGAATGACATACATTGGGGCATACATGGCCTGTTAGCCAATTATCACCTGACTGGTAACCGTCGTCAAAAAAGACTCCAGCCGAAAACATCTGCATGAATCAACTTGCACTGGCATTTGTTGAGAACGGCAGTTACCAGCGGGACGCATCGCCCGCCGGCATTTTGAAGTGAAGGTTTTATTACAGCGAAATCACGAAAAATTGATAAGCGAAAACGAACACTGCCGGTAAACTAAAGGTTTATCGGCAGTGACAAAAATATTCTGAACTGTCTCGATCGTTGCCAAGCAGACGTAAACTCTGCATTTCACCAGAAAGTGTGCAAAATACCAAAGCATGTTTACAGCTATTGTGGAAGGAGCGAGGCTTTCAAAAAGGATAGTTCACTTTGACCTTGTCCCTTCATCACTCATCCTCTTATAACCCTTACATTTCACCCTGATCGAAGTTTAAAGGACGACTCTGTTAAAAGGGCAAAGTGGTAAAACAAGAAATTTCTATGGAATGTGTGTCTACGCTTCAGCTCTAGTGAAAGGTCTGATATAAACACGAATGCTTAAAAAACACTATTTGAGGAATCTAGTGTGGAAACCAGACAAGGTCCGCAAAAACTGGTGATGGCACAAAGCGGTCTAAGACACTGAGAATGCCCTCTGGGATCGAGCAGGCCGTGGGTACGCTTACCCGGATATCTGGCACACTCAGTTCTAAAAACGCACAAATGTTATCCCTGTTACGGCCCGCTTATCAACAAGAAGGCTTCTTGAGCGTGCACAGACCAGAGTGGGGGAAAGGTGGAGGAGGCTTCCCGGGCCCATGTAGAGGCGGATCCGGGTGGAGGAAGGCTGGAGGTTTTCCGGGTCCAAACGACCAAGGTCCACGTATAGGTACCAACCCCACGAGAATGTGGAGGGATTCAGCTCGAACAACGACAACGTCCTGTAATCCTTCACGGAGTTGCAGAACAGTGAAAGGCTGGTCTACTCCTCGTACGGATCATCGTCCTCCCCGAAGGACATATGCCGCAGTTTTCAAGTGGCTGGTCAAAGGCAAGGGCATCAAATGCGACTTGTTTGGCTGTACCAGTCCTAAGAGCCCTTCCAGAAGGTCACAGTAACCCTGAGAGGACGGCGGCCGGCTGGGCCACTGTCCTGCGTCGCAGCTTCAGTTTCCTGAATGGAGCACTCAGGGCGATGGCTGGCGCCGCGTCCAGCGCAGTTCCGGCAAGCCGCTGGGTCACGGTTAAGTGCGTAACAAGAGGAAAGGTGAAGGATACACACATGAAGGATACTCATCGTGGAAAATTTGAACATGTAGAGGTCATCTAAAAATGAGATGTTGTAATTAATCGCGATTGGTTACATATAGAACGCCGAGCCGAATGTAAGAACCCCTACATCTTAACAACATCAGTGAATGAAAACAAGTTTCACTACACCCTTTCCGTGATATCACTTCACGAGAATTTTGCTCGGCTCCTCAGTGTAAATGCCAAAGAATTGTGATAGCCGAGTTTGCCGATCTGAGGCCCACTGTGTAATGTGACCAATTTTGCGCGCCAAGTTCCGTAGCAGAGAAGTCTAGGGTCCAGGCAATTTTGCCCATTCCGTTTCTTAATTCTCAATCCTCAATTTCGTTCTCCGAGCATTTCGTCCGTGATGATGTGTGGGGCAAGTCTCGGGATTGAAGTCTGGACTGCCCTAGACCTGCCAATAGCATCACTTCAGCCCACCCCGGCCCCCGACCCGTTCCCAGCGACCGAACGGGTCCCTGGCCTTTCCCCGGAATAAGCCACGGCCGCAGTTCCAGTCACAGTCCCCGTCCCAATGTCAGTGCTAGAGCCGGGTGCCCGGCTCAGTCCTTAGTCCTGCCGGACGCTCGCCCGGTCCCACTCCTGGGCCAATGTCGCTTTGGGTCCCAGTCCCTTAGTCCTGCCGGACGCCCGCCCGGTCCCACTCCTGGGCCAGTGCCGGTCTGGGTCCCAGTCCCTTAGTCCTGCCGGGCGCCCGCCCGGTCCCACTCCCGGGCCAGTGCCGGTATGGGTCCCAGTCCCTTAGTTCACCGGCCAATGCCGGCCTCAGTCGTCCCTTCCACGTCTGCCACTCACCTGGCGCTGGTGAGTGGTTAGTGTTGTAGCAGCTGGGACAGCGGCAGTGGTCGCGAAGCCACACCAGCGGCAGCAGCACGTCCTCCGCCGGCCAGCGCGGGTGCTGCACCACCAGGTGAGAGCCGTGCAGGTACAGCGTGACCGCGCTGTCATCTGTTGGCAGCCAACGAAACCTCAAAACGCCAGCAGACGAGCGCGGCTGCAGGAGCGCCGCTAGATCACGGCTGGGGGATGCAGCTACTCGGCTGGAGTGTTTATCATGGGTGCTTACAATATCATGAGGGAGGCCATGCTAATGACTAGCAAATCCTCAGCACATGCGTGAACAAGTAAGCAGTGATTAAGGGAACAGCATGGGGACACAAAAACGCAGGACAGTCCCAGATTCACAGCCATTAATTAAATCATAAATCTGTGAGTCATCAATATCAGTAGGCCAACACATTCACGCGAATCCTCAAAGCCGATCAAAAGCCTCAAATCGGCGCCAAAGTCGCATGGTTTCAGCCCCTGCATCCATAAACTGGCAAGTGACTGTCCACAAGTCATAGGTCCACAGGACGTAATACGTGCATCCTATGCATCATGACACAGATTTGTGACATGAAGTTCTGGGAAGGTCTTGCCATTTGGTACAAGCACATTTCACTCATCTGAAATCACGCCACTCAACGAACCTTGAATTACATTTTGTGAGCAGGACCGGCCGTTGTTCCCCTGCTGGAGGTCTTGGAGAACGATCTTGTATGTTTCGAGGAATAACAGGCTGAAATAATTGCAGTGCCTTCGCTGCGCGAAATCGCGCTCGCAGGTTCCAATAAAAGCCTATTCTTGTTCCGTTGCCGGCCAAACCCGGTCAGAAAACATCTACTCAAATATGACACCGACCTCGACAACATTATGCTTACTGCATGTACTGAAAGGACGGAACTAAGTGAATGCATCGATCATGCTACAGTAGTAAGCCCATCTCAAAGCGGTCCCTGTTTTGAGGCCACTTATTTACTGCATGTGCTGAAACTGCGGAACTGAATTAAACGTGCCGGCCGTGCTACAGCAGCAAGCCCATCGCGAAGCGCGGCAACGACTTCAGATCCCCAAACTTCCGATCCCCGAACCTGCACATCCCCGGCGACGGCTGGCTCACGGCGAACGCCCCACAGCAGCCCGACCAACGCGAAGCGTGCCACGTCCAGTCACCCGCGGCACTGGAGGCCTTCAACCGCCGACGCGTCGTGGCGTCACAGCACACCGCTGGTCGCTGCTGCCACCGGAGCCCCGCAGCACTGGCGGCCCACCGCCCGACGGCGCACCGTGGCGTCACAGCACACCGCTGGTCACAGCTGCCACCGGGGCCCAGCTGCACTGGCGGCCCACCGCCCGACGGCGCACCGTGGCGTCACAGCACGCCGCTGGTCACTGCTGCCACCGGAGCCCCGCAAGAAAAAATAAACAAAAATAGTCCGGGCGGCCAGCGACGCTCACCGCCGTTGCTCGGCGCCGGCCCGTCGCTCCCGCGCGACCGGGCGCCTCGCCCGGCACCGCACCGGCTTCGCCCAGCTTCGGTCTTGCCTCGCCGTGACTCGGCCTCGCTTCGCTGTGACACGGCCTTGCTCCGTCCTGCCTCGCCAGGTCTGTGGACACGTGCATGCGATGTAATTGTACGCCGTCTTGCTGGTGGGGTTCTTAGTGCTTTGAGCGTGCGGCGATAGACCAACATAGCGGAGAAAGTAGAGGTATAGAGCGGCTCACTGCTGCAGCGCAGCAGAAGGACCTGATTGGAAAGAAACGCAACTTAGTGACCGGGACTAATTCTTGCAAACCCTGCAATCTGCCGAACATGGGCCTGAGCTATTGTATGCCCTCAACGCCTGTCGACCGTATTGGTGTCAATATGTGCGAGCGGCGGACCGTTTCAACCTTGTAGCGGGTATTTCATACATCTTCTCACTTTACGCAAACTCGTTCCCAACCAAATTCCGATACGAATGAAAAGCCCACCGTGTGTGTTTTGTCGTGTATTGTGTTGTTAAGTGGCAGAATGCGGCAGAAAACTATTCAGTATCCTAAAGGAATTAATCCCAAATGCAAATCTTCATAGAGCTGATTTCGCATTGCTCGGACAAGCTCCAGGGTTACTTCTCGAGCGCTACCGTCCAAGTCGTGAGTGCTCGCTAACCATTTATTCCTTGTAGATGTGGTGTTACTATATTGTGATCATTGTGCTCTCTATAAATGAGCATGCCAGTCTACACGTTTGATGGCAGCATAAGTATCTTCAGCCGATGGCAGGAAAACCCGGTTGACAGGTGTTAAAAAACAGAAAAAAATTAACATCATACTAACTTGAAGCTAGCAACACTGGTGCTCCTACGCCTCCTCCGACTCGGTTTTTCAAAGTGCACGCACTCCGCATCCTACACTACACTCCTAATGACGCCAGCCCCAATGGGCCCTATTACTAATACATCCTCAACAAAGACCGTACCCTTGTATTTGGTTAAGCGAATTCGTGTCTTACGGTTGCTGACCGAAGTTAGCGTACAGAGATGCG